ATCCTTACTTATGATTTATCTTTTAGGTAGTGATGGCTGGTAATTTACTTTTGCCCACCCCTGTATATTTGTCAGCCCCAATAAATAAATTGAAATAAACAGAAAACATATAGATAATTTAGAGCTCCTAATTTATCTCAGATTCTTTCTCATTCATTCATTTATTCATGGAGCATGTGTCTACTGGACATATGCCCTCAATTCTATCTATTCTCTGTAATTCAGAAAGCAGGCTTGAAAAAAACATTCAGGAAAATGCTAGAATAACAGAGCCAAGCTGACTCAGGCTCTTCACTCACAGAAACCAAGCAATTTGTTGGGTACAGGCTCAAAAAAAGGAAAAACTAACAGTTACACTAGACATAGATGGAAATAGGCACGCGCACGCGCGCGCGCGCGCACACACACACACACCAGTTGTCCCAGAGTGCTCAAAATCTATCCAGCAAAGGTGAATTTGAAAAGGAACAAATCAGTAGGAGTAGCTAAAATGAAACAGGCAGAAAGCATTCAGACAAAAATAGATCAGGACTCTAGGTTCATTCTAGGCTGCAATAGAAATTTGGAGCAATTTAGTTCCTTTCCTGAGATCCCTAAGGAATTCTTTCAAATATCTAGCTGAAATATGGTATATTGAAATCATTTCCCCAAACCTTAGACAGTATTTATTTCTCCATTCTCTGAACTCCTAAAGCACTTACTGTCTGTAAAACTCATCTGGGAACTTAATCATAAACTACCTTGTTCACAGTAATGAAACTATTAACAAACATACCCAAAATTTATTTACATATTAAAATCAGTGTAGTCCTCTTTAAACTATTTAACTTAGGAGGTTATTTACACATTTATTCACTGCATCCAATCATCTGATGCATTTAAGCAATATCATCTAGTGCCTAACTACATGTGTACTGTCACCATTGTTTAAAATATTTCCGACTTCCCCTTTAGGAGTGTTTTCCAAAGTCAGTTAAATAAGTCAACCAAAAAAATCACTGCCATTTCTGTGACTCAATGAATTTAAACCAAAACTACTCTTTATTCACTCCACTTAATATCAACAGATCTTCAGCATTTCTAAAAATCTTAAAAACGAAAAGATGTGTCACCACTAAAACTATTCAGAATAACATTATGCCTGCATTATTTGTAACTGTGACATCCTGAAGGGATTATGAACTCCTAGAAGATAGGTACCATGTTTTACTCACCTTTATAGGCTCCCTCCCCCAACAGCACACAATAAGTAGTCAATAAATAGGTAAATTGTATAGAATGTGCTAAGAGGCTCAGAAGGTAATTCAGAAAAGGTGTTCCAAAAAAACTCTGAACACTACTCTGAAAATGACTACCAATATAAAAAATTCTCATCAAAGGTATACTTCCAATATTTGTTTTTTAAAAATCAATTTTCTGAACTCTTGGACTGTTCCTGAATTAATTCCAACTGTCTTTCTCTCCCTAAAAGAATATAAGTATTATAAATTCCTTGAGGGAAGAAATTTCATCTAACATATTTTTATTGTCTTAAAAAATACTTAAATAAAATCAGACAGATTCTTAAAACAGCTAAAAATCTCTAAGCAGTAATTTAGGCCCGAGGTAAGAAAATTCAAATTAAACCAGCCCCAAACTACAGACCAGATTTACTCAGATTAAACTAGTCTGAAATTAGACTAGAACCTTTGGTCCCATACCTTCAATGTTTTGGCAGAACTGTTACAGTTCCATTCTAATCCATTCTGTCTTCTCCCCTTAAATCTAAAGGCTTTCCCTAGTAAGATATTCCTTCTCTTTCTCTCTCTCTCTCTCTCTCTCTCTCTCTCTCTCTCTCTCTCTCTCTCACACACACACACACACACACACACACACATCACCACCACACATACATTTTGTCTGCAATACCACCATATTGCTCAGCAATTTTACACATTTCCACAATATCACTAAAGCAGTGAACACTATCAGTCATTCAACAGGTATTTTATTAAGCACTAAGAAGCAAACTGTTGTGAGGGTCCCCAGAAAATAAAGTAAATCTCAGCTCTAGAGAGGTTACAATCAAGCCACCATTTCCCAAACAAAGAGAATAATTCCATAAACAAAGACAAAATTTAGCACTATATAATCTACATGTGAATACTGTTTTTATTCAGAACAAGAGAGATCTCAAGAGGTGGGGTTAAACAAGACTTCCTAAAACGGGAGTTAGATCTTTCTATTCTCCCAATCTCAGTCACGCTGACTTGGTAATGTTGCACCTCATACACAAATTCCAAAAACCAGTACTTTAAGAATCTATCCTAATATACAAGCAACATACCATTTTCCACCATATTAACAACATGTTCGTGGCTTAAGTATGCTAATTTCCTTATAACTTCCACAAATCTCAGTCTAACTATTGTAATTTAAATCTCCCTCACATCAACTACATCCAAATGTCCTCAGAATTCTTTACCTTTTCTATACCCTCCCACAAAATTAGCACACACCCCCCTTCATACCCGGTCCCTCATTCTCCTCCCTGTTTTCACATTTCCCAATCCCTCCATCCATAAAAATGAAACACATATCCACGCCAGTCCTTCCTTCCTGAAAAAGTAAGTATTGCTGTAAAAGCCTGGAAAGAACAATTAAGAGTCATCTTAATCCATTCCCAGATTTCTCCACACTCAAAATCCCCATAAGACTCAAAGAATACTACTTCGCAGTTGACCTGGTAACTAATTCCAAAATGAACTATCATTGCCAAACAACTCCTCGTCTCTAACCAGCAACCCTTATGCTGCAAAGATGCTGTTTCTGCAACCTACTCTTTCTCACAGGTCCATCCATCAACCCTCCCTGTATCATCTCACCCAGTATGTCCAGTCTAATTTTAAATGCTTTATCTTTAAGCATATTAAAGGTATAAAAACATAGAATAAAAAAGTTTAAATAGTAACTATCAAAGGTTGGAAAGGAGAAACAGGAAGGGGATTAATGCCAGTGACACAAATCCTTTCCATTCATAGTAATAAGTCTTTTCACTACTTCATAATGTCATTTTAATCAATCAAGAAATAATAGTACATGGGAATTATTTTTGGACCTTGTGAAAAGCATGATATAAGCTACCAAAATTAATGCTTACAAGTAGTAGACTGGAAAGTGGAACTGCAACTGAACAAGTGAGACAGAGCTATTGCTTTTCATTATAAGCAGTATAATTTCATTATACATGTATAATTCCATATACTTCAAAAAGGGGAGAAAAACAATAATGACATATTACTATATTTAAGTCTGTAAACTTACAAAAATTTCTTAAATTGATAACACAGGAGGGGAAAAAAACAGACCCTCTTATACTATGATGATTGTAAAATAGCAAAGCATCCTATAGGAATATATAATGTACTGACAGTTTTCCAAATTTTAAAAAATAATCTGGATTTATTTCTGTAAGAAAATTTAATAAAAGCCCCTCTCCACTAAAATGCTAAATTATCATCCTCCTTTAGAGATACAGTAGTTGTTAAATTAATGATTGAATTTTTCCATCCCTCTCCCAAATTTCTTTCTATCTTCCCCATTAATCCCTCCACCCTCTACTTCCATAAAAGGATTTTTCATACTATCCTCTGCTCAGCTGAATTAATATTATAATGTAGCCGAAACCGGTTTGGCTCAGTGGATAGAGCATCAGCCTGCGGACTGAAGGGTCCCAGGTTCGATTCCGGTCAAGGGCATGTACCTGGGTTGCGGGCACATCCCCAGTAGGAGATGTGCAGGAGGCAGCTGATCGATGTTTCTCTCTCATCGATGTTTCTAACTCTCTATCTCTCTCCCTTCCTCTCTATAAAAAATCAATAAAATATATTTAAAAATATATATATTATAATGTAGTGTGTATACAAATCTTTCTTAACAACCAATTTTCAGGTGAATAAAGCTTTAAGAGTATGGTTTTAGCCCCAGCCGGCATATGTCAGTGGTTGAGTGTCAACCTTTGAACCAGCAGGTTAGGGTTCAATTCCTGGTCAGGGCACATGCCTGGGTTGTGGGTTCGATCCCATGTGAGGTGTGCAGGAGGCACCCAATCGATCAATGATTCTCTCTCACCATTGATGTTTCTCTCTCTCTCTCTCTCTCTCTCTCTCTCTCTCTCTCTCTCTCTCTCTCTCCCTCCCTCCCTCCCTCCCTCCTCCTCCTCTCCCTTCCTCTCTGAAATCAATAAAAATGTATTTTTTTAAAAAAAAAAAGAGTATGGTTCTAGCCAAGAGGTCCCCTCTTAAAATCTGGTGTGGTGTGAATTCAGCAAATTCATTAGGTCTTGGTTCATTTCCTGATATAAAAATGCTAATACTCCCTCCAACCTGGATTTAGAATCATCCAGTCTCTTCAGGTTCCCCTAGACCTCAAGGCAACCAGCCCTGACCTTGCAACTTAAGACCAAAACAGATATTCTAGATCCTCCATTCTGCTGGCCCACACTCTGTAGGCTGATGCATTTTCTTCAATAACACCATGCCTCAGTAAGAGTATACATTCAGGAACTGTGAATGGTAAAAGTTCTCCCATCTGCCTCAGAGTTATGGAACCAATCCAGTCAATTATACTAATTGGAGCTACAAATGGAGCCTCCCAAGGGCCACCACGCATGGAATCCCCCCACCATTACTTATAACCTTGTGGACTGCGATCCAGGCTGAATAATATGGCCCCAGTTCTCCTGGAACACTTAAGCTGGGCCGAAAACCGCCAAGTCAAGTAATTTCCATTCCAGCATTTGCCGGAGTAGTGTTCGCCCGGCCTCTGGTAAGTGATCACACTTCAAATTTGCTCAAATATAAACTCCATGACCTAGAGCGTACCTGTGGGCCAGGTGTTCGCTGAAGATCTGTTTCAGAGATTCTCACATTCACTGGTGCGTGTCTGAAATGTCTCAGGCCCAACTACAGACTAAGGTTTAATTCTCAGTGACCCCAACCGCTGCCGGGAGCCACACTTACCAGATGTCATCTAATGAAGAGCCCGAACAGGTTCGGAACTGGGCCACCCGGGCCCATCTGGAATCACGCCTCAGTCCCTGGACCAACATTTATTAATTCTACTATAGCTGTCGATTCTGTCACGCGTCCTCTTCATATTCTCTAATTTTAGCACTCCCTCTTGCTTCAAACGCTATTCTTTCTATTCACGGAAACTCCTTCGACTCCCTCTTTCCTTTCCTTAGAAATGCTTCGGTTTTTTTCCATCACGAAATACCGACTCTATCTGCACAATGAACACCACCACCCCACCAACCCCCCCACCCCACCCTCAAGACTTCTCCACGGCCATCGCCTGCATTCCTCCACCTATTCTTCGCCCCCGCCTCTCGCCCTGCACACACTGCCACTAGGTTTCCTGTAAGGATTCCTTTTCTCCAACCCCTGCCCTTCCCTGCCCGCGAAGAACACTCGGGCAGCCGCCGTGACTGAGGCCTGCGGTGCATAAAGCACTGCACCAGGCACGGTGCACACAGACCCGGTGTCTCCCTCGCCTTCCCACTCCCCCGCCGAGCACCCTCCGGCCTCCCCGTGCACACACTCCACCTTCTTCCCGACCTCCGACACCCGCCTCGGGCCCCGGAGGCCGCCTCCTCGCCGCTGCCACCCCCGTCATTATCCTTCCTCAACCCCCCGACCCACCACCCGCGCCCGGCTTCCTCCCGTCCCCCAGCCTGCTCCAGCGATCCCCCCGGCCTCCGCCGGCCCCCGGGCCACCCCCGGCCTCGCCGCGGCTCGCTCCCCCCGGGGTCAGGCCATTACCGCCGCGCGCTCCCCCCGCGCGCCGCCCCCTCCCCCTCCCCCGCCCTCCCCCGGGCCCGGGCCCGGGCCTGCCAGGCCGAGCGCTTTACCGCGGGCGGGCGCCGAGTCGCGCGGTCACCGACTGCAGACGGCAGCAGCTCCAACCTTTCTAGGGACCTTGAGAAGAGGGGAAGGGGGGAGGGGGGGAGAACTTTTGCTGTAGCAGCTCCGGCAACTGCTCCCACCCCTGCGCCTTTCTCCTCTTCCTCCCCCTCCTCCTCCTCCTCCTCTTCCTCCTTCTCTTCCTCCTCCCAGAGCAGTAGAGACGCAGACATGCCGCGGCTAGAGCGCCGCCGCGGTCGCCGCCGCCGCCGGCGCGGTGCATTGTGGGAAGCCCCGCACACGGGAAGCGCCGCGCGGCGCCCGCTCGCCCTGGTCCCGGGACCCAGCCGGGAAGACCCAGCGTGGCTTCGATTCCGGTGCCCGCGTGTCACCCGCCCGGCGTGGCCGGAAAGGCTGGTCCCCGCTCCGGGTCCCCCGGGCTGCGTCTGGGAGGACGGCCGTTGGGAACAGATCGGAACTGGGGGGATCTCTTTGAGTGGATGCCCGCCTTCAGCCTTTCGCGTGCTGAGAAGCGGAGGGCGCGGGGGTCGGGTGTTTCGGGCGCGGGGAAGAGAAAGGGAAAGGGGCGTAGATGACAGGTTATCTGCCAGGATGTCTTAGCTTTCTCCTTTCTCCTCTTCCCTAGCCCCTTCCTCTCCACCTTCCTGCGTTATCCTCCCACCACCCCAAATGCCCCCTTTTCCGGAAGCGGCAGCTCTGCGCCCTTGGAGGGAGCTAACCCCGTTGGTGTCTGCAAACAGATGCAGGGTGTGAGCGTACAGATGTAGAGATACGGCCCCGGACCTCTTTGCGCAAGGTCTGGCATGGTATTTTCCGCTCACTTTACCTGGGGCCCAAAACTTCTCCGTCTATCTCGCAGGCGCTCGGCAATGCCGGAGTTGCGCAAGTGTGTCTCAATCCTGGGAGGCCCTGCAGGTGACCTCAGCCAAATGGTGAGCTCCGGAGCGGCGCCTTCATCCAGCATTTGTTAGGCACCCTGAGGTGCCCGTGCATACGGGGTGGTTTACAATCACTCATCGTGATGTCCCCACCCTAGCACAAGGTCATCCAGGTGACAAAAAAGATGCGCGGTGAATGTCGAGTGATTACCTGAGTATCAGCCACTTAACCATGGGAAGAAACTCCTTACTGTTTCTTCATAATCGAGTGAAGATTGATTTAGTATCTGCAATACTTAACCTCTGAGGGGAGAGGGAGAGGATAGGCATTAAAATATCTGTAGAACCATTTCTGGAGTTCTTCCCTTGTCCACACCCACCTTCCCACCCCTTGGCAACTGAATGTTCATTTGAATGGTGCTTTCTGGCAAAATTCCAAACTCCGGCGTTGTGCACTTGTGATGGCACTGAATCAGATTAGTGTCTGCAAGGTTAATGTACCCCCAGGCGCTAACCTTAGTAAATGGTGAGGCCTATTTAGAAATAGCTGAGGCCCAGGGGTTCAACTTAATTTAGACACAGGTAACTAAGAAGAACAAGGATGATCCACAGTTCCACAGTCAACTCTCCAGTGTGCTTTCTCCATTGAAATACATATATTCCAGTGAAATGACAGTGCATATTCTGAATGCTAATTGCAACAAAACAGTGATTCAAGCTAGAGCAAGAGAGTTATCTGGAGGACAGCCTTCTGGCAACTTCCAGCATCTGCAGTGGCATCAAATTCAGAGGTTAAAATGAAAAGCACCTCTGGCAGCAAAGAAGCAGGCTCTGAATATTAGGTAACAGGAAAACTAATAACTGAAAAGGATTGAAGGCCTGGAGATTATACCCAGTCGGCTAAGGTTGGTTGGTTTGCCATTAGGAATAGATCTAGTTCTCTGCTCAACACCATAACTAAGAAACAATAAACAACTGTCTCACATGAGCTGAATAAAGAACACTATATATTTTTTTAAAATATATTTTATTGATTTTTTTACGGAGAAGGGGGAGAGAGAGAGAGTTAGAAACATCAATCAGCTGCCTCATGCACACCCCCACCTGGGGATGTGCCCGCAACCAAGGCACATACATGCCCTTGACCAGAATCGAACCAGGGACCCTTCAGTCTGCAGGCCAATGCTCTATCCACTGAGCCAAACCAGTCAGGGCAAGAACACTATATTTAAAAAACTATAGTGCCCAGGGTCCCGGGTTCAGTTCTGGTCAAGAGCATGTACCTGGTTGCAGGCTTCATCCATCCCTGGCCCTCAGGGGAGTGGTGATGTGTTGGGAGACAGCCAATTCGTGGATGTTTCTCTCTGTCCCTCCCCATCCCTTCCACTCACTAAAAATGAATGGAAAAATATCCTTGGGTGAGGATTAATAACAACAACAATGAAACTTGTTTATGGGTCAGATGCAGCCACCAGTCTATCTTACCTGATGTGGCCTAACCCAGACAGGGCTGGAACCGCTGCTTTGATTGGTGGGATGTGTAGGGAGCGGCTCTAGGGACAAGCCTCAGCTGACCTGTGGCAGGGCCACAAACAAGTCCCAGCCTGGTGGGCAGAGCTCTCCTAGCATAATTAAGCCAGACCTTGTAGCCCTCCCTAATTCCTTCCTAAGTAGCTAATGGGCTGTGGGAGGTGCAGCATGTGTTGCCAAAACAAGGACATTTGTATACATGTTAATCTACCCTTGTTTTAATCAGACTATAAAATAAAGCATCAGCTTGCAGGCTGGGTCTTTTGTGTCCTCATCCAGGCACGGGAGATCCACCAAGCCCCAGCTGTATTCTCTTGCCTGTCTTTTCTTCAGTCCTTCACCACCCCTCCTCAGGTTCACCCTTGGCCGAGCTGGTGGGTCTCCCAGAGCCTCTTCTCCTCTGGCTCTGGAATGGGTTCTCTTTGGTTTTGGCCCTCTGGCGTCTTTATAAGAGGAATGTACATCCATCTCTTGTCCCCAAAGATTTCACCAGGTCTTCAGAACTTTCTGTACTAACTATCTTTCAAGCATCCTGGACCTCTCAAGCTCAGGAATTTGTGGAAGTGTTGGCTTCTGTACTGTACCCATGTGTTGCCTGCAGCATGAGCCATTTGTGAAGTCTGGTTCTACCTTAAGGAGAAACTTGGTTTCCTTTTGCAAAGCTCTAAATTCATAGCCTTGTCAGAGATTGGCCCACAGGAACCTGACTCCACATCTTGTCATTTCTATTGGACCCAGGAGAAAAATGGCTTTTCCTGTTCCAATGGGCCATCTTTCCCTGGGACACCTGCCCCTGAGTTCCTGCTTCAGATCTGAAGGGCACTTGCAGATCATTGATATATTCTCAAATTCATGACCAAGCTATGGAAACAATTTAAGTGTCCATCAACAGATGAATAGATTAAGAAAATGTGTATACATACAATGGAATATTATTCAACCTTTAAAAGGAAGAAAATCTGCCCTAGCCAGTTATGCTCAGTGGATAGAGCATCGGCCTGCAGACCAAAGGGTCCGGGTTCGATCCTGATCAAGGGCACGTACTTTGGTTGCAGGCTCCTTCCTAGCCCAGACCCTGGTCGGAGCGTATGCAGGAGGCAACCAATCAATTTGTTTCTTTCACATCGATGTCTCTGTCTTTCCCCTCTCCCACTCTCTTGAAAAAAAGATCAATGGAAAAATATCCTAGGGTGAAGATTAACAAAATAAATGAATAAACAAATAAATAAATAAAAGGAAGGAAGGAAATCCTTCTATTTGTGACAACATTAATGAGCCTGGAGGACATAGAAAGAAAAATACTTCATGATTCCACATATAGGAGGTTACCTAAAATAGTCAAACTCATAGAGGCAGAGAATACGATGGTGGTTGCCAGGTGCTGGGGGGGGGGGGGGGGGGCAAGGAAATGGGAAGTTGTTATTCAATGAGTATAAAGTTTCAGTTATGCAAGATGAATAAGTTCTAGAGCTCTGCTGTACAACATGTGCCTACAGTTAACAATATGGTATTGTGTACTTCAAAATTTTTCTTAACAAATCTTTTAAGCGTTCTTTCAGAGAGAGATAGAGAGAGGAAGGAAGAGGAGGAGGAGGAGGAGGGAGAAGGGAAGAAGGAAGAAGAGGAAGGGATGGAGAGAGGGAAGGAGGGAGACGGAGAGACAGAGCTCGGGAGGTATTGGACATACCTGTTGCCTTGAATGTAGTGATAGTGTAGTATCACTGGGGCTTGCATATGTCCAAACTCATCAAATGGTACACATTAAATATGTGCAGCTATTTGTATATGTTATACTTCAATAAAACTGTTTTAAAAAAACACAAAACTAAAGAATGAGCCTCGGCCAGGTGACTCAGTTGGTTAGTGACATTCAGATACACCAGCAAGCAACAATGAATGTATAAATAAGTGGAACAACAAATTGATGTTTCTCCCTCCCTCTCTCTCTAAAAGTCAATCAAT